ACAGGTTTTTGTGTTTATGGATCCAGACACTGAGTGAGGACTCTCCTGACCCGCTTTCCTTCTGCTGCCAAGCTGTCTCCTCTGACCACTGGCTGTGTGTCCGGTTGATTGTTCCTGTCATGTTGAATAGCTTCAGTTATTCTGTTTTCATCCACAGTGTCTTTTGATGCCTCACAAAAATTGTGCAACACAAAACATGCATATATAACAAATGGAAGATCATTCATATTGATGTCCATGGCTCTCCTCAGGGCTCCAAATCGGGCTTTTAGTCTTCCAAATGCACATTCAATCACCATTCTAGCTCGGCACAACGAAAGTCCAAAGTACTGCTCCTGAACATTGCTTCCTCCGTTAGCATATTCTTTCATCAGGTAAGGTAGAAGTGGGTATGCAGGGTCACCCAGTATGTAAATGGGTATAGCGTCTTCGTTCTCCACAATTTGTCTTGGACAGGGGGGAATCTTCATGTTTTTCAGATTTGTGTTTATTGTGGAGTTAGCAAAAACTCTGGCATCATGCACACTCCCTGGCCATTTCACAACTACATCAATAAAGCTGTACTTGTAATCACAGGTGGCTTGTATGTTAAGAGAAAACCTCCCCTTCCTATTTAGGTACTCTGTAGAATTAGCTGATGGCTGCTTTATCTCCACATGAGTCCCATCCACAGCTCCAAGGCACTGAGGGAGACCATAAGCCTGCTCAAATCCCTCAACAAGTGCACGCACAGCAGTCTCTGTTGTTGGCATTTTTATGTAAGATGGTCCCAAGTACACAGTTATAGCCTTACACACCTCTCTAATTATGTTTGAGACTACTTGTCTTGATAAGCCAAATGCATTGGCCGTTTTACGCAGTCTTCCCTCGTCAGCCAAATAATATAGCGTGCATGCAACTTTTTTGACCACACAGACTGGAGATCGCATTACAGTACTCTTCCCTTGAATGTAAGGAAGGAGTAACTCCGAGAGCGACAGTAATGACGACCGTGACATTCTGAAGTTCTCACGCCATTCCTGTGGGAGAACAATTTCCTTCTCAAAGTTTTCCCACCAGCCAGCAGTGCGTCCAGGTCTGATCCAAAACCGGCGACGGCGACGCTGAATGGCGGTATTGTGCCTCCGTATCGGTAGGGATAGTTGCTGTAAAAGAGCTGAACGCCAAACGCTTTTTCTCCTTTGTAATTCCATCTGTTGGAGCAGTTGTGCTTGTAAAAACAAGCAAGCAAAAATTGCCTGAACCAGCGTTACAATTAGTACTTCCCTAAACGCAGTCATTTTCCCTCCGAATGAATGGGCAAACAAAAACAATTGTCGCACATGTGACGTCAGCGCCGCGCTGCACCATCTGTCGCAGACATAATGCGCATATCTCCGGTTCCGAAAGTCCACACGCAAACCCGAAAGAGGAGATTTCTCAAATCTCCACTTTGGTCGGAGTTTTTGTTATTATTCGTTTATAGTTACATCAACCGGAGTTCACGTGTGGATGAAAGGCCACACCGCATGATAAACTATTCGGTTTTCCTGATATCCGGCTACGTGTGTACAGGGCCTTTGTCTGCCGGTGTTTTGAAGCGGTTTGTTGCATTTTATGAGCGTCTTCCTTCCTCCTCCTCTCTAACAGCAGATGTTCTAGAGCTGTAAAACACGTCACTGTCTTTTTAATCAAAGTCTATTTATTTGGTGCTTTAACGGGAAAATAAAAACATTTAGCATCGAGCGTCTTCCTGTCAGCCTGAACTTTGAACTGACGTCACAAACGCAACACGAGGCTGAAAGTTCTGTGGAGTGAGAAGTAAAGAATACGGCCGGTCTCTTCCCATTGTTCCCAGAGTTGATCTGGAGTTGAGATAATGAAACCTGCTCCCCCATCCCCCTCCTTCAGATGAGCTGACCCCCGTGACCTGGGCAGAGTTCCCCCTCAAGACCCCGCAGCTCCGACCACCATTGTTCCTTTGTGACTGGAAGGACAATGATGATGTTGAAAAGCTTTTGGGAAACCGGGTTTCCGATGAGTCGGTTGAGGAGTGTGTGGCGAGCAGATCTGTTAACGACGACACGCCGTGAGTCAACGGAGGACAAAACGCTCCTCCCTGTTGGACCACTCTGACTTTAGAGCACGGCGTTCCCTGACGCGACCCGTTCCCACCGCGGCGCTTGTTGAGGAGTGACGGATGAGCCGCAACGTGCTCGTTAGTGACGCACTTTTCTCCAAACAGTCGATGAATGCTCGTCGTGACGCGTTCAAGGACACTCGGGGAACTTGGTGTGCACGTCGCCCGCCGCCTCGCAGGCCCAGAACTCTGAGCGGCCTCCTCACAGGAAACTCTTTAACCTCCCACACTTCAGGAGGAGAGAGAAACAACAAGTGTTAAAACAAGCAGGGATTGTCCTGCCCCCCCCGCAACCCACTCCCCAGCTAAGAGCAAAGGAAATGTTCTCCAGTGAAGAGCTCTACAGATGAATGTTAGCACCTCCAGCTCCACTCCTCTCCTCGTCTGAAGAGCAGGCCGATGGTGAAAGATCCGGGTCGCTTCTCTTAACTTGTCCTGCCTTTTACAACCCCCCCCCCCCCCCCCAAATGACCAGCAGAGCCTCATTAATTCATCCTTGTGAGTGAAAATGTTTCAAAACAACAGAACCTTCGGCTGTTATCCATTACGCTGAGCGCTGAACAACAGCCAAAACTTTCTGAAGAGGCTGAAACTCAGGTAACATTGACCATCAGCTAAAAGCTGACATAAGCAGGATTCATTTAAAAGGAGCTAAATGTTAGCCAAAAGTATTTAAAGCTAAACAGTAGGTACATGGTAAAAGTAGCAGAAGACAACAGCTGAAGATTAAAGTTAAACATCTCAGTGTATTTTGAAAGAGAAAACATTTACAAATAAAGTTAAATGTTTTGAAAAGTTTAAACGTTAGACGAACTAAAAGTCCGGCTGCTGAATGAGCCAAATGTTTTGATTTGTGAACAACTAAAAAAAAGGCAGAAAAACATACAAAAGCAGCGACAGGAAATCAGCTGACGCAGCGTGCAGGAATTACTCGATTGCTGGTGGTGGTGGGTGATACAGCAAACAGCCGAAGCTCCACTCTGACTCGACTTCCTGTGAGTTCACCCAGAATCTGGTGTGATAAAACAGCCGAACATCTGAACCCTGCAGGGGTCTCGGATCAGCTAAAGGAGCGGGACGAGCTCGGGTTCGAAGGCATTCCCCGCTTTATTCCAGGGTTTACTCAGCAGGAGCGGGTGAGGAGGAGGAGGAGGTGCTCCTCCCTCTCCTCAGAGTCATTCACCATCTCCTCCAACCCTCCTTTCTGCCCCTGTACGCTAGACTTCATCGGTATTTGCTTTAAAAAAAGACCCCCCCCCCCCACACACACACACACACACACATCAGTCCTGCCTCCAGCTTCCAGGATCTGCTTCAGTCCATTTTCTACACATTTCCAGAAAGGAGGCAGAGAAAAGCAGCAGCAGATCAATAAGGCGGGGGCCTGAGCGGCAGAGGCCATGTGTGAAAATGGGGGCTACAGCAGAAAGGGGGGGGGGGGGGGGCTGCAGGAGATGAAAGTGACATGGCCACTATAGGGTGTGTGTGTGTGTGTGTGTGTGTGTAGCCCCTGAGCTGAATAGGCTCATCCATTCTTCAGTCCTTTCTTCCTCCGAAGGCCTGAACTGTTGGAACTCTTCATCCCTCACAAAGAGCAAACGCACTAAAACTTTTTCTTCTTCTTCTTCTTCTCATGCAAATCAGCCTCGGCCCGACTGAGCTCGTCATCATGTGGAGCGGAAAACACACACACACACACACACACTCCTACACTTTCAGGCCCTTTCTCTTTACTTTGTTTTTTTCCTCAAACGTCTCAAAAATCTTAACCAGCTGCCCAAAAAGATACGTTTTATATAAAAATAAAGTTTGTTTTCTTGTTTTACACGTTAAAATGAAGGTCGAGCAAGTCTTGAAGGAATGCTTATCACCTGCCGCCCTTCGTTCCAGGGTTTTAAACCATCGTCTTCTGTTGAGTGGTGTGTGCATAAATAAAATGCAACAGAAGACCTGCTGTTAATGACTCTCAGCTACTACCACACATTTCAGCTCAATATATTGGCTGCTTTTTTGTGCGCTTGCTAAAGCTGTGACAGCCATCTTTAATCTGCTCACCTCAAGAATTCATCAGTTGTGGAGGTTAATTTCTCAAACTTTCACTAAAATCCATCCAGCGCTTCATGAGATATTTTGCTAACAGATAGAGTTGGCTCCAGATATTTAAGCTCTAACTTTTAATATGAATCTGAAACAATCTGTTCACTTTCACAGGGGATGTTGGGGACTAGTCTCAGCTACTACCACACCCACTCTGAGGTCAGTGGTTGTCGCCACTTCTGTTTGTTGGGTTTAGTTCGGCCATCTTGGTTCTTCTCGGCACCAAACGTCAGTCAGTTCTATGAGTATCTAATGATTAGTTCCTGAAAGTTTCATTAAAATCCGTCCAGTGGTTGGTGAGATGTTTTGCTAACAGGGACACCGGGCAAAAAGCTGATTATCCGCCTGTCAGCGGCGGGCGATAAAAAGTGAGTCCCGCGCGCGTTTGGAGCTCATTAGCTGCGCATGTTTGATCCAACTGCAAATACTGGTGCTAAAGGGCCGCAGACAGGCGTGAAGTGTTTGTTGAGCAAACAGAGGATGAGACATCAGGACACATCTCATCTGCGCCAAAACATGCTCACTCCCGCACTGCGCGTTACGCAGAACTCATCAGAACCTGAGCCCGTTCGGAACCAACGCACCAAACGTGCTGAAAAGCAGAGGAGAAGCCGCAGAAACCCGAGCTCTGCTGCAGGACGGACATTTTTTAAATTCCTGCGTGAGAAAAGTTCAAAGTGCAAAAGATGAGAAGCCGCAAAAAGCCTCATCTGCCGCCGCGCGCACGCGCCAGGAGAAGGCTCGGTTCGGAACCGAGTCCCCAAAAAACACAAAGTTGTCCTACCTTCACCCGGATTCTCTTCTTTCTCGCTTCGTGTCCGAAGAAGAACTTTCTGTGGACTTGCTGGTTCCGGGTCTCTAGAACCGGTCTGGCTCTCCGGACTTCACGAACCGAGTGTGGAAAAGTTTGGAGAACTCTTCGCAGGACATTCCACCTCCGTGCGTCCCGAATCAGAGCCGAACCTGGACCCGTTCCCTGCGGTCCATGCTGGTCCCGTCCTCGCGTCACCAAACGGACAAAGGTTCGGCTCGGCTCGGCTCGGCGCGCCTCAGGCTTCGGGTCTGGACGCTGTTCGGTGCGGGGACATGCGGAGGTCTGCTGATCTGTTTTCAGTCCTCCCCCCTGCACCCCTCCCTCCCCCCTGCTCCCCGGTGAGTTGGGCCATTTGCTGCAGCAGATGGGCCGGGCTAACTCAGCCGAGCCGCCCGGGACCAGAACCAGCTGAAGTTTCACTAATGAGCTGAGCTTTAGCTCCTCTTCTCCTCCTGATGATCAACAAGCTGATGAAAAAGTTTCCACCCTCTGCTGGACCCGCGGTTCTGAACCGGTCCTCTCCAAACCCAAAACCCAGAACACACTTTGTTTGTTGAAGAAGCAGAAAACAATTTAAAGTCTTTGTTGATTTAAACTTCATCTCGTTGGAAACTTTTCACCAGATAAACACGATCACCCGCCGTCAGTCAACTATGAGCTCAGTCTTGAGTTCTGCTCATTTTACTGTTGATCAACAACAAATAAAAAGAAAATAAACAAAAAGATGTGTGGTGATGTTTGTGATGATTAAAAAGGTTAAAAACAAATTGTACATGTTTGGACTAATACACAAACAAAGTGAATGAAAGGAGGAAGTACTTTATAAAAAGATACCTTTAAATACTGCAGATTTACATGATCACCCTCTGCATGGTGGTAAAGCTGCTCACTGCCAAGTCATGAAACATAAAAATCATTTTCCTGTCCATGGCTGATGTGGCCTAACTTTAAAATGTGTGACCTACAAAAACTTCCAAAGTGTGCTTGTTTACCAACAAAAACAGCTAAAGTGTGTTTGTTTACTTGTATAAAGGGCCAAAG